TTCTATAATTCTGTTTTTAGAATTCTATAGAAATTAAAAATAATATCTATAATATATATAAAAAGATATATTTTATAAAATCTAATATTTTAAATTATTATATATAAATTCTATAAAAATTAACTTCTTAAACTAGTTATTTTTTTTAGATATTATAATAATATTTCAGGTAATATATTAAGGCCTAGTTCTGCTTTTTTATTTAATTATTTATTTAAAAATAATAAGCTATACTTAAATATTATTTATATATTAAATAAAAATAGAAAATTAACTAGAATTAGCTAATAAATACTATTTTTTAGTTAGAAATAATTCTATTAGAGAAACTAAAGATTAAGAAAATATAATTCTATATAATCTTAGTAAATTCCAGAAAATTAACTATTTTATAATATATAATATATCTTACTATTTTAGAGTACTAGTTAATAATTATAAGAAATTTTATTCTAGGATCTTTTAGGCTATTATAAACTACTAAATAGATTATATAGTAAATGCCTCTTAGCCTTAACTCTTTAATAAATATTATATTCTTAATAATATTTATAAATATTTCTTTTTATATTCTTCTAATATTAGAATCTTCTAAAGAGCTCGAGAGTTTTCTTTATTTTATAATATCCGGCTATTAGATTATTATAATAAAGCTTTATAACTTCTTAATATAAAGCGGAATTATTAGATATAATAATTCTTAAATAGTATTTAAATAGGCTCTAATTATTTCTCTAGATTTCTTTTCTTATAGTATTTCTTTTACTAAGTTTCTATTTCAAGATATTTTAATATCAAGAATTATTTCTCTAAATTATCTAAATAATATCTAAAAGGAATTTAAATAAAGAGGCTAGTATTATAGCTCTTTTAGTAGCCGTATATATTTATATATAGGAAATTAGATATTTATAACTATCTAATTTAAAAACTCAAGAGACTAAAAAGTCTTTAGTTCTATTAAGTAATATAGTTATAAATATCTCTATTATCTTAGTTATAGTAATAGAGCTTTTAAAGCATTTCCCTATATTTTACTTCTTAACTAATTCTATAATTAAAGAATCTATAAAATAATTTATTTATTTATTTATCTTATACTAAATATTTCTTTTTAAATATCTATAAAAACCTTTAAATTATAATTATAAAAGCTCTCTTTAACTTATTCTAAAAGATTAAAAGCCAAGTTATATTAATAGGATCTTTTTTATAATTAGGCCTTTTACTAGATCTATTTACTAGATTTAAGGCACTTCTATAATAAATAATACTAAAATTATATATTATAAAATATATTATTTAATATATTTAATAGCTTTCTAGATACTTTATTTCTATAAAGTATTAGAGGTTATTATAGTCTATAACAACTTTAATTATAAACGTGAATTCTTTAAAATAATAATACTAATATTTAAAGGCTTTAATAATTACAAGTAGCTTTCTATTATAAATACTATAGTTATATTTGGCTTCGGAAAGTTTCCGGAACTAGAATACTACTAGATACTAATATTTCTTTGGGCTATTACTAGAATTAATTTATTATAAAATAGTACTAGTAATTACAAATTTTAATATATTAATTTTAATATAAATCTTCTTAAAAGAATTAAAATAAACTAGAATAGATATTATAATAAATGCTTTTTTTAAATTTTAAAGCTTTTAGTTATTTTATTTATTTATATAAAAAACCGGATTTCCGGTTCTTTATTATTTCTTTTAAGAAATCTATTAAGCTTATAATTATATGAAAATAATAGTAAATAAATCTATAATAGAAATTAGCAAATCCAAGAAATATTTAAATATTATAAAACGATTTTAGTTCTAGCTATTTAATAATATTATAAACTTGTTTAGAATCTACTCGAATACTTTCTATTTTAATAAAAAAGTTCAAGAATTCAATTTCCTTAATATTAAACTCGTATTTACTAAGTTTATAAAATAGATTATTTTTATATAACCTAGTAAATATCTAGTTAATATAATTATAGTATTTATTTTTATTTCGGGAATAAATAAGAATATTATTTAAATAAATAATTATAAAATAATTTAGGAGCCCTATAAATATAATATTAATATATACTTAAAATATAGCTAGTATTTTAGCTAGTTTGAAAGGTATTATAAGGTATTTAAAATAATTATAATAGGTTCTAAAAGCCGTTTTCTACTTATATTTTTTATAAATCTTTACTATATTTAATAAATATTATACTAGAACTAATTTCTTTTTCTTTTATACTATAGAAATTGAATTATTTCTTTATTATTAAGTAATATTATTTCTTTCTTATATAATAAAGAACTATCTTAAAAGCTATTAGTATTTGATTTCTTTAATTAAATTATTTAATCTCTTTATTTAATTATATAACTCATAAGTAAGAATAAATATAAGAATTATAACTTCTAGAAATTATATAATATTAGTAAATAAAAGGCCTTAGCTTAGTAGAGTCAGAATATATAAAAGAAATACTAGTTAAGACTCTTACTTATAGCTATTAATATTCTCTTAATTCCTCTAATAAATAATTAGCTAGAGAGAATCTTTTTAGGAATATATTATATAGTAAACTAAAATAGAAAATAAATAAAAGTAGAGATAATAGAGATTAAAGAGCATTTAAAGTATTAGAAAAGAACTAGAATCTTATAAACCTTCTTTAAAACTAGCTAGTTTAAAAGAGATATATACTTTTTAAAACCCTTATATAATTAGAGAATTTTCTGAGTATTATCTAAAAAATTTAAATTTCCAAGCTATAATTCTTAAAGGCTATTTTTCCCGCTTTAACTTCCTTCTTTTTCCTTTATTAATATTATTACTACTTATATAAGAACCTCTTATTTCTCTTTATTTCTCGTAATTATATTAATTATATAATAGTAATATATTAAATAATCTAGCCTCTAATAATAATTCTCTTATATGGCTTCCTGCTTCTAGTAATAGTTTCCTTATATAGCCTCTTATTTCTAGTTCTAGTTCTATAAACCCAAACTAGTAATAAGCTTTTAATTCTTAATTCTATCTATTATATAATAACTAATATTTTAAAGGCTTATTTCTTTTATTACTTTTAGTATTAGTAATACTTCTAATCTTAGTATAAACTAGTCTTTTTCTTAAGGCTAATAAATAATAAGTATTATAGGCTAATAATTTATTTTCTTTATATAATACCTTATTCTTTACTATATAATAAAGCTAACTAGAATATAGTATTATAATAATTAATAATAAGCTTTTACTTTTCCTCGCTAGAATATAATTATTAATTCAAATTATATTATAATTAGTTAAATCCTTATATAGTAATAGTTTTATATAAATAGTTTTCTTATTTAATAAGAAGGAATTAATATAATAGCTATTTCTTATATTATATATATTTATACGGGATTTAATAATATTATTTTCCCTAAATATATCCGGATTATATATATATAAAGTAATTACTATAGTAATTATAAGTAGCCAGATTATATTATAAGCTATTACTAGAAAGAAAATAATAATAGTAATAATAGTAATAGAGAGATTAGTATAGGAGATTATTGAGAATATAGTAGATATAGTAGAAATAGTAGGGGTAGCTATATAAAGCAAGAACGAATTATATAATATAATATAGTAAGAAAAACTTCTTATAATAGTAGAGTTACTTATAGTAGTACTATAGCTTAATAAAGGCCTTTCTAAGATTATATAATGGTTTTTAGCCTCTTAATAGTATAATTAATAGAAGTCTTTACAAAATAACGAGAATCTATAGGGATTAGCTCGCTTAGGAACGATTGGAACGTTCTATTACCGCCCGTTCCAGACCCCTGGAACGAATCGGCAGAAACCGATTGGTCCGGAATATCGCCAAGCCTGCACTGTATCAAGGCCGTTACAGATTCTGAGCATCCAAATTCGCACGCGAATCTGATTGGTGTGATTCCAATTCCAATCTCGTTCCAGGAATTCCAAAAAGATGGTATCTTCCTTTGTCGTGGAGTGGGAATTGGGTTGTACGACCTCCATCCTGGGGTCCCAATACCACCCTTGGTGCCCGTCTGGCATGGAAGTAATTCGGAACCACATCGAGCCAGAGCTTGAATAGCCCCCCCGTGATTGAATGCTGCCGCCATATGCATAGCTGTAAGTCCCAAAGAGTCCCTAGCATCGAAATCCCCCCATATACCACTAGAAGATCAATCACATCTGTATATCCTCGCATGGCTGTAAACATGATAGGCGTACAGCCTCCAGGTCCATTGGAATTGGGATTGGCGCCTCGCTGGAGTAAGTACTCCGCGTAGGCTTTCAATCCCAGGAACGAGCTGACATGGATTGGTTCGCTGCCTAATAATAGCGTCTTGTACACGTCTGGGTTGAGGTGGAGCCAAATGCTGAAGTCTCGGCTACCGCTGGTAAGCAAATAGTCGAGCTTTTCGAAGACTTGATCATCGTCGATATTGCTCTTCAGTACATGGGAAGACCAATTCTGAACAGAATATTGCATAAAAGGAAATTTTAGCAGGAAATCTTTCTTCTCTTGATCGCCACCCCATTTCAAATCGAAATCGTGAGCCGCGAAAGCTTTGAGCATATAGCCCAGGCATTCCGATGCAAGTCTCTTATGTACCCTTGTCGAATATAGCACCGGAAACCCTCCTTGACTCTCCTTGGTTATTCGTGCGTCATCTAAGAGGAATTCAGTGAAAGAATGGTGAATGACTTGGATAGTCTCGTTCTCCAAAACTTCAAGCAGAGGTTCACAGCAAATCCTGAGCACACGTTTTGCAGTCGGTATATCGGCGAATGGACCCTGCAAAGATAGAACAGCTGCAAGCTCCAGGAGACGAAGTGGGCGTGAGGCATGAACGACCCAACCGAGAACTTGTAGCTGGATTTCTTCCGATACCGCAGCGCGGATGGCATGCTCTCGGAGGAGGCTCTGGTATGTTTCAAACACCGATCGCATCGATCGCTCTAGCAGGCTCTGGATCGGCTCGTTGCTGCGAAGGACTTCATCGAGCATTAGGCGGGTCTGGAGAAACAAGTCATGTTCCTTGCCACAAGATCGTCCTTTGATGGAAGAGATTTCTTCTTGGTTTAAGTGCCTCTGTTGCTGACTGTCAAGTCGATGTGAAATGTAGGCGAGGATGTCAAGGTCAACGAGTTTGCCAGATAGTCGTAGAATCGTGGTATGTGCAGTTTCGGAAGGCATTTCAAAGCCTGGAAGAGGGCGGCTTGTGACCATGAGTTTGATTGCTTGTGGTCGCATGAAGTTCATTTTGAGAAGAGAGTCAGTGATGAATGCTTCTTGGCCCACTTGAACTTCGTCTAGAGCGTCCACGATGATGAAGACTTGTGCAGGGGTAGCGAGAGAGGTAAGCAATGCATCCCACAGGTCTTTGATCGGTGCGGTCTCTATATCTGGGAAATTGGCCATCAGTCGTTTCAGTTGAGATGCGAGCTGTATTGAGTGCGGGAGCAACTGTGCCAGAAAGTCGCGAACCAGAAAGATCGGTTTGCTGTTGGAATCTACGATATGCCGAAAGAAGAAATACAAGACCAGATGGTTCTCCTTCTCTAAAAATGTCTTGATTAGATTCGCTGCCACGACAGATTTGCCACTTCCTGGAATGCCCTTGATCCAAAGAGTGCCGACATCCTCGGACTGGGACCACTTCTCAAATTGGTGGGTACTGAAGATCCAATTTCCAGTACCAGGGACGTGGACTCCTACATGCTTTCGAAATTCACTGGCCTCAGAGGAGTACTCGGTAGGTGCCAGCCACTCGGTAATGTTTTGCACTGATTCTTGACTGTTCTGCGAGTTCGCGTCTGGATCTGTTAGCTTTTGATACGCAAACAAAGATCTTCGCCTACCTGGATGCTCAATTATCACAAAATCTTGGCTTGCCATTGCTGAAAGTCCGGTGTACGTAGAAAATGGAGCAGAGATGACTGGAGTCACAATCAGGTGGAATATTGCAACCCCCCGCCCTGCTAACCTTATTATCTCTGTGGTTTTGCAGACTGCAGGGTGGCGTGAGAAGCCGTCGGAGGATATACGTTTCGTTTGATGAAGCATCCTAGAACTCGAATAATTTATGATGGCATGTAGGAATTAGACATTAGAACTCCTTCGGGATTCTCAGGATCGTGCCAAGGATAGCAAAAGCAAGCTGAAGGGGGCAGCTGAGTTCTCGTGACTCAACCCTAGAAATGGCGTCTCGTATCTTTCAAGCCACGAGAATGTCGGCCTCAATGGTTATTCTTGAGCGAGTCTCGTGACGGGTAGTAGAGACGCGTGACTGGCCATGATAAAACATTCGAGGCACTGTCTTGATCCTGTTCAAGTTCAGATACAGTAGCCTTTGAGACGTTCCACCCCTGATTTTCGCGTAGAGTGCTTCCGTTTACGGAAAGCCGTAAGGATCAGAAGACCAAGCGATTTTCGAATCTGGTTTTCGACCTTCGATATCTGATTTGTGGCACGTGCGCACCCCACCAAAAATCGCCCGTAACCAAAATACCGTATTCTGCGGGTACAATTACTATTATACTCGTATATATAACTTATATAGAGGTAGCCAAAATAAAGCTATTCGCAGTTACTAAATATACTAATATTTATATTTATCTTTACTATAATATCTCTAGTACTCCCTCTGCCTCCGCCCCTACCTTCGCCCCCTTTTCTTAACTACTATTAACCCCCCTTTAACTTATATAGTCCGTATAATAGATCCTATAGATTATAAGGCATATCTTCCTTACTATTATTATTCTCGCTATTATTTCCTATAATACTTGAAATATCTCTATTTCTATTATCCTCTTTATTCTTATTCTTATCTTCTTTCTTTCTCTTTCCCTTTCTCTTTATTAATCTCTTTATTTTATTACTCTATTTCGAGGGTATTTGTGGTTTTAAAGATTAAGGTTTTATAAAGGCTAACTTGGAAGGAGCTAGATCTTTTAGTACTATATTAAGGCAGTATAAGATATATACTCTACTACTATTATTATATCTATAATTATAATAGACTCGGTCGAATTTGCCCTAAACTTATATATATTCCTACTATAGGCCTTTGGGATTCTTTTTTATATAATTAATATAAGATATAAGTATTAAATAGCCTCGAGTTTAATTATATATTATCTCTAGGTTTACTATAATCTTTGGATTATTCAAGTTAGCTAGCTTCTTTTTAGAACAAAACTTTATATCTTAAATCTCTAGTATTTTATAAATATCCTTTATAACTTATATTATCTTATTAGGGATATTAAAAAGCTCGAGATAATACTATTTATTAGTAGTAATAGGAGAAGGCTATAAGGTATTTAAGGAAAAAGGAGAATTTAGTAGATTTAATAAATTATTATTCTAATATTTAATTAGTACTATATTCTAGCTTTTTATATAGGAAGAGTATAACTTACTATTTCTTTATAATACCTCGAGTTTTTAAGCCTTTATACTCGAGCTATATTATATTACTTATTTTTACTAGATAAATATAGATTATTAATATTACTAATATTATATATATTATATCTTTTCTTTTTTTTAAGAACTTCTTTAGTAATATAATAAAGAATTATATTTATTTTATAATAGGAAGAAAGGCTTAAATAATACTTAAAGGAAAAAAAAAAGAAAAAAAAAGAAAGTTAGGTATAGTATTATAATTAAGAAAAGAAGAATTAGTTAGAAGGAAAAGAAGGCCTTTTTATAATACTTTTTTTCCGAGAAGTAATTGCGAATTTAGAGTTATTTTTATATTATAAAGGCCCAAAAAATATAAAAGAATAAATTTATAAATAAACTAGGAGATCGGATTAACTTTCCCAAGCTTTCTCTTTTATAAAGTAATAATAAATTCGCGAATAGAGGTAATAATAGGATTAATAAACTAATTAGAAAATAGAATTAATTTTATAGGTAATAGTATTTACTATACTAATATTACTTTTATAAAGGGAAATTATAAAATATGATTTCCGGGCCAAATAGGCAAGTTAGGTAAACTATATTTACGGGTTTATTACTAGTATAATACTAGAATATAGATAAAGAGTTTCTAGTTAAACCTAAAAAGTATAGAATTAGATTAGAAAGCCTAATAATTTTGGAATTATATAAATAATAAGTTACTTTTTCTAAATTTTATATTAGTTTCTCGGATCTAGAAAATTATATAGTTATATAATACTAAAAATAAGCTTTCTTTATATATAAGAAATAAAATATTAGTATTATTTTATAATTTAGATATAGTATATCTAGATAATATAATATAAAAACAAGACTATTTTTAGTAGTTATAATATTATATTTTATATAAATACAAAAGTAGGGTTTTTATACTAGTATAAACCAATATTTAAAGACTATATATTTCCTTTTTTCCTTATTCTTTATTCCTAATTACTATTACTATAACTTGCAAACTATATTATATTATAGGAACTAATAGAATTAATTCTTAATTATAGGAATAATATTAAGCTTAAATTAAAGAGCTCTATTATATTTAAGAGAAAACTCTTTAGGATATTAAATATATCTTATAACTAGAAGGGTTTAATACTAGTAAGACTAGCTATATTACTTAATTATAATAATGAAATACTAAACTCTTTCCGGATTAATAGCAAGTAAAATATAAGGTATATCTCTATAATAAGAAGCTAGTTAAGATAGTATATTATCTCTAGTATTAGAACTATTTGCCTAAATATATGCTTTAGATCTTTAATTATAAACTTAATTACCCTAGGCTTAATATATATATCCTAAAAATAATTTAGTACTATTATAAGCTTTAGCTAAGATGAAATTAATTCGATACCAAGTATATTAATGCCCTTAAGAAAACTAAAGAATTTATTCTTAAGGAACTAAAAAGTAGTTAATTAATCCGGTATAACTATAAGAGGATATATTACTAGGTCCAAAAAAATACTAGTAAATTTATATCCTGTAAGGAGATATAGCAGATGCTTAGGATATTAAATAAGATAAGAATAAAAGTGCGAGATAAGTATAAGGATTAGAAATATAGAAAGTTTACTATTAAGGGGCCAGGTTAATATTAATCTATAAATAGATATAATAAGTTATTCTATTATGGCTTCCAGATCTATAATATTATTAATATATATTCTTAAATAATAATTAGTATTTTTATTAGTATATTAAATTATATATAGATTACTATCCTAAAGTTTTATCTTTTTTATATTAGGAAATAGGGTTACTTTCTAAAAAAGTTATTAGCTAATAAAGGCTAGGAGATACTACTTATAGTAATTATATAAGTCAAGCTCCGGCGGTTAGTAAAGGATTATGATTTACTATAAAAAAAGGCCTTTATTTACGGGCCCTTAATAAAAAATTAGTATATTAAGATATAATAAAATACCTTAGCTAGTAGGCTTATAGAGACCTAGAGATAGTTCTTTAAATCTTTTTATAATACAAGTATCTTTAATAGGGAATCTTACTATAACCTAATTACTATTCGATTTATTTATATAGATATTCTTTACTAATAGATTAATAACTTTATTCTTTTTTATAATATTAGTCTAATTTGCTCTTAGTAAGTAAGAGCTAATTACCTCTAGTCTAGAGTTCCAGAAAAGCTATATAATTATTACTAGGGAGTTTATTATTATAATATTTCCCTAATAAAAATAATTAAGTAATTGCTTTTTAAGCTTAAAAAAGAGATTATGGGATATAATTATATAGTATATTAAATTCCCGAAATTAAAAAGCTTTATATAACTTTCCTTAAAGATACTGGTATTATATATACTATAGATGAGCTTAAAATAGGGCTAGATTAAGACTATATTAAAGTATATTAGTTCTTTTATTATATCCTCAAACTTTATAAAAAGAGAATTAGAAAGCTCTCATTTAATATTAAGCCTTTTTATAGGGAAAATAAGTAATTAGAAATAGTTCGAAAGGCGAAATAGAGATTAGAGAATATAATTATAGTAAATTAAGGACCAGGAAATATTAAAGAGAATAATCTTAATAGTAAGGTTTCTATAAATAATAAGAAATAATACAAGAATAATTTAGGGAATTTAGAGAATAAGGGAATCTTAGATAACTTATTTAATAACTAATATTTGGGCTATAAAAGTTTATTTATACTAAGCTTCTTAAAAGTAATATTATAGCTATATATAAAGATATAATTCCTTTAAATTAATATAAGGAATTACGTAGTTATATAACTTTATAGAATTAGCTAGTTATAAAAATACCCTAAAGCCGGAAACTCACGAAAAGTCTTAAGGGCTTTAGGGTATCCGGACTATTACTAGTACTTAGTACTCTTTAGGAAAAGAATATAATATATTTTATAATAAGTAACCTATTATAGACTACTTAATCTTGAAGTTAAGTGGGAAATCTGAGGGCTAGGCTTGTAATTCAAGTCTTATTAAGGTTATTAAAGTCTTTACTAGCTAGTATTATAGATTTAATATAAATATTACGGGAATTCTATAGATTTTATCCTAATTTATCTAGAAAGCATATATAGTATGTTTTTTTATTTATTCCGATATTTATATATAATTCCTGAGAGCCAAATTATTATCTAAGGAAGAAGTAAGAAGGCTAGACTAATATCTTTAAAAACTAAGGCCTTAATAAGTCTATCTAGAAAAGCTTACTAATTTTTCTAAAAATAACCTAAGAAAAGTTTGAGTTTATTATATATTATAACTTATATAACTAGGAATAGGGATTACTCTAATAGGCTAGAAAGAGTTTCTTATATAGCTTATTTATATAACTAGAGATAGGAA